TACCATAATTCCAATCGTGTTAGGCTCCATGTGCATGCATATCCGATGTATCTTTACATCTATCAGGTGCTCCACGTTCCAAGAACATATCTTGATGTGCTCGCCGTGTGCAGCAAAACTGGAAGAATATTGCAATGAATTGCCCATGTGCTGCCGCGCCTCCTACTTCCTCTCCCCGTCCTTGCCCTTCTTCCCTTTGCCTGGGTGCTACTTATGTGTGGGGAGGGCGGGTGTGAGTGAGCGAGACAGCTTGCGGGCAGGGAGGGTGTCTTGACCCCTCCTCCTCCCCCCTCCCCTGGGTCTGGAGGGGAGGGGCCGCGAGGTGTCCGATTTTTTTCGTGGGGGGGTCCCAAGATGGCTTCAAGAGGCCCCAGGAAACCCAAGATCACCGCCAAGATGTCTCAATCCATCCGGAGATGGATCAAGATGGCTTCCAGCATACTCCAAGAAGTTCCAGGACCTTTTCAAGACGGCTCCAACTGGCCACGGAGCTTCCCAAGGAAGCCGCTAGAAGGCCCAAATCCTATAAGCACCTTCGGAGAAGTACTGCTCTTTGCCTTCTCGCCCTTTTGTTTTCGAAGGCCCTCCGAGGCTTCAAGATGGCTCCAAGATGGCCCAAGAGGGCCCCAAGGCGGCCCTAAGAGCGCTCCAAGACGGGTCCAAAAGGCGCTTTTAAGGGTCTCTAGAGGGGCTAGGCTAATTGAGTACCCTCCCATTTTGATCGATGCTTCCAAAATGCCCCCCCACCCCCCCCCCCCTCCCCTCCGAAGCCCGTAATGCTTCCAAGAATGCCCCAAGAGGACCTCAAGTGGCGCCTAGAATGCTCCAAGAGGCCCCCAAGAAGCCCCAAAGAGGCTCCCAAGAGACTTCCAAAAGGCTGTCAGAGGCTCCCCCAAGGTACCCAAACCGCTCCAAGAGGCCCCAGGGGCCGCCAAGATGCAGATGCCGCCAAGACGAACCAAGAGGACTCCAAGAAGCCCTCAAGAGACACCCGAAGAAACTCCGAGAGGCATCCAAAAGGCCTCTGGCCTTTCTGCTCGCCCTCCTCCTCCTCCTCCTCCTTATCCGCCCACTCCTCCTCCTCCTCCCCCCCGCCCTCCTCCCCCCCCCATCCTCCTCCTCCTCCTCCCCCTCCTCCTCCTCCTCCTTCTCCTCCTCCTTCTCCTCCTCCTCCTCCCCCAGCTACTCCTCCTCCTCCTCTTTCTCCTCCTCCTCCTCCTCCAGCATCCCCCCCTCGTGGTGTGACGGCTTCCCCAGCCCTATATTCCACAGCATGCTCCTCCACATCTCTTATCAGGGCAACTCGCCTGGGCATCGTTTCTGGATGGGCTGGTGGGGCTGCGCGAAGCGTTGAGACTTGCAAATTGTGATGAGAAGAGTCGCCCCAATGGCGTTCGAAGAGTGGGCTCCTACCGGTCTGGCTGGCGCCATGTGTGTCTGCGGCGCCAGCCCCACGAACACTGGCTGCGCCCGTGGCACCACCAGCCCCGACCAGCATCTGCCTAGCCACCCTCGCACTGTGCCACCAAGGCTGATTGCCGCCACTGGACCCCAGCACGCGCGCCGTTCCAGAAGCCCTGGACCCACAAGACGTTGGCATCTCTTGGAAAACAATATTTTACTTCCGCCGTCGGCGCCGCCCGAGTTCTACTTCCGTCGGGGAGGAGATGCCAATTCCTTTGATCCTCGAACGCAGGGCCCTTCCTGGAGTGCCACACGCGGCCTTTGCTACACGCCTGATGTGTGGATGTGTGGTTCCTCCGTTCGCCATCTCAGGCACCTGCTCAAACTCCACGTCTGTGCGCTCATCTCACTGACGGTCGGGAACTTCTGCTGACGGCGTCGCGGCGGCGGCCCTGGCGACACGCTACGCCTTGCAGGCGGACAGCGTGTCGTTCCGCTCCTCGGGGCTGGAGGCTGGGAAAAAGCTCAGGACGTTATCGCTTGGGAATCTGGGAGTGGTCCGCGTGCCGCGCCGAAGCGTGATGGGCCAGAACCGCGGGCGCGACACGCCACCCCACAGTTCCTGACGGTACCCCCTCTGCTCTCTTCCCGCCAATTCTGCGGACGCCGTCGTGTCGCTTCCTGGCATCATCGTTATATGATCTCCAGGACAACCCCAAGAGAGCCCCAAGCTGTCCCAAGAGGTCCTCTGGAGGGACTCATGACCGCCTAAGAGGGGCCCTGGACGGCTCAAGAAGGCCCCAAGGCTCAAGAAGGCCCCAAGAAGGCCCCACGACAGCCCAGGCCCTTGAGAAGCGCCTAATACATCCAAAGTGGCCTCCAAGATGCTCCAAGGCACTCCCAAGACGCTCTCCAGGAGGGGTCCCCCTTAGCCTGTTCAATATTTTTCGCTTCCCACGCTCTTCGGCCGAAGATCGGTCCACTTGCGCTCTTCGAGGGCCCAAAGGGGCTCATTGAGAGCCCAAAGAGAGGCCGTGAGTCGGCACGAGGTGAGCTGCAGGCTTGCCCAAGAAGGCCTGTGGAGGGACTCAAGGCGGACCAATTGAGAGGGCCCTCGGAATAGACTCCCAGACATTCAACAGAGCCCCAAGACTGCCCCACAGGATCCGAATCCAGCCCCAAGACGGCCCAACTAGGGAGCTCCTCAGGAAATGAAGATGAGATGTGTCACATGTGACTGGCTTCTTGTCGCTGCTCGCAGGGTCGCCACACAGAATGCTTCGATACCACGGTGCCGAATTTGCCACAGGCACCCAGATGTCTTCAAAGGTCGCTTGGCCAACCTGCGAGGGTTCCAGGGCCCGAGAGCAGATTCCCAGGCCGACAGCGCTTTGGGTCGGGGGGTTGGCGATGCACGCTTGCGGAGTGAGCCGATCTTTTCGAGCTGGCTCATCGCTCGCGAGCGCGCTCGCTCTCTCTCGCTCTCTCTCTCCCGCTGGCTCCTCCCCTCCCTCCTCTCGATCGCGCTGCGGATGAAGTCGCGCTCTTCCTCCAGTGCCCTGGAGCCCTAACTCGTAGGCAATCAATCCTCCCTGTGGAGAGAGTGGGCTGAGAAGGGGTAGCAGGTGGGTCAGATGAGAGCTCTGTTCCTCAGACTGCGCTGGTTCGGGGACATCCGGCGGTCCTCGCAACGCATCGGCTAGACACTCATTGGCAACCGGGTAAGTCTACGCCCGCACCACTACCCCCGAGCGCGTGCACAAGGAGCTCTCGAGACACGCCCAGCGAAAGGCTGGCTGGGGAGACCAAGGATCGGCTACACGCAAGAGTGACCCTGGGTAAGGGTGACCTTTGGTGCGCGGCTTTTTGGGGGCCGCGGGGGGACCAAACAAAAGCGCGTAAGGCGCTACCATCGCATCGCGTTCGGCGATCGGGGGACCCCAACCCAGACCCCCGACGTCATGATTTTTTCATTACGTCGACCCCCAAAGTTCTCGACCCATTCCCTGGGACCGGTTTCTCATCCTGAATCGTTTTTGACGGTCCTGCGGCCCGGTGAGGGCCCCCGGAGGCCGCAAAGAACGAAGAACCTCCCGTCATGATCTTTTCAGGACCCGAGGGGATCTGGGAATGGGCCCGCACCAAAGGTCCCCCCAGCGAAGGGTCACTCTTGCGTGCAGCCGAGAGGAAACACCGCAGGAACGGCATGGGGGGCATGCCGGCCAGAACGGCCACAAAGCGACGGACCCGGCCGCCACGAGGCGGGGGCCCCAGGGCCGGGGCCCCGTTGCCGAGGCGGGGCGGCCAGGACCAGGCGGCTGGGACGTCGCCCGCACTCTCTGTGCTGAGGGACCTCCAATTGCGTTGAAACCAATGCAGGGCCAGTCTCGCCTGCAACCCTGCTTGAAATTGGTTCAAATAGTGCGCCGCCATGCACTGCAGGTAATTCGAAGAAACGGGCAGCCGAGAGAGCGCACGCGAATCGGAGCAGAAGGGCGAGACCATTCAGCAGTTTGCGCCTCAGCATGCCCACGCATGCTCTGAGCCTCGAGCTTCGTAGCATCACGAAGCCACCTCGCTCAAAATCGAATGCGACAAAAAATGCCTCCGTACTCTAGTAGTCTAGCACGGCAAGGATTGTTCAAATGCAAGCCCTGCGAGACGAACACCATCGTTAACTTACCGTCGAGCAACAGCAGCGTGTGCCGAAGCACCGGAGAAATCTCCACATGAAACTGGCGCGACAAATTTGGGAAGTAAGCATGTGAAAGCAGGTCAGGTGGGCTTTTCGCACACCGAGAATTGACGGCAGCCAGCCAGACCGGCATCGGAGCCCTCTCTCGCAGACCAACGGCCGTTCACAATGTGCACCGACAGAATCCGCCGACTCCGCTCCCACCTCCCTCACCACCCTTAACGCCCCCGCCCGTGCGCACCGAACTACCCCCCTCCGCCCCCGCACGGACGCGTGCGCGAGGCCCATCGGCGGCCCAGCACCGGCGCGGACTTCGCCCCCGCGTGGCCCCAAGGCACCGCGGACTCGGGCCTGCACCTCGCCCCCTCCCCGGCCCCTCGCGGGGCCGGCCCGGACCTCGATCCCCGCCGCCACCTCTCCCTCTGCGCCCTCTCCTGCCTCCTCCTCCAGCCTCCTCCTCCTCCTCCTCCTCCGCCTCCTCCTCCGCCTCCTCCTCCTCCTCCTCCTCCTCCGCCTCCTCCTCCGCCTCCTCCTCCTTCTCCTCCTCCTCCTCCTCCTCCTCGCCCCCTCCCCCCCCCGGGCGGCGGGGCCCGCCGCGGGGCTGCCGAGCCCCGCCTCGGCCCTCGCGGGGGACCACGCGGAGGGGAGGGGAGGCCCGAGGCCGGCGGCTCCGCAGGGCGTGGCCTGTGCCGAGGGTGCGGCCTGCAGCCCACGCCCCGTGGGGCGGGCGGGGGCCTCGGCGAGGCTCTCCGCAGCAGCCCGAGGAGGCCGGCCGAGGGCGGCGTGGTGCCCCTCTGGAGGCCCCACGGCGCAGGCCGCAGGCCGCGCCCCGGCGTGACCACACCCGCTGCAGGCGCCGAGGGGGCGGGGGCGCGCCGCACGAGAGTCGAGAGCCAGGCGCTCAGAGGTAGCGCTGCTGCATCTCCACGGCCCTGCCGCCGGGCAGCGGCGGCGGGGCCAGCGCCGCCGCGCCGACCTCCAGCAGGCGCTCCGAGCTCGGCTTCGTGCGCATGAGGCCGTGGCCTGCGTCGGCCACCCTCACCTCCGCCAGGCTGGCGATGCGCCTCAGGCCCTCCAGGGGAGCGGCGCGCAGGTTGCGCCGCCGCTTGGCGCCGACGGCGACGACCCCGCAGGCGACGAGGACGGCGATGGCCACGAGGCCGGCGCCAGCCATCGCCCACCTTTGTGCAGCCATTCGTGGGAGCCTTCGCGCTACGCTTGGGCGTTTACCTTCGTTCAGCTTTCGTTCCACGCCTTCCGCAGGTTATTGCACACGCACGCCGCGCGCCGCCATGGGCCTGGCGCCATCAAGACACAACGGCCGTGGGGGCACGACAGCGATGTGGAAGTGGCACGGAAAAAAGCACGGACTGTGTGAAGAAAGGGAGGCATAACGTAACACGAAAGCTCCTGTGAACGGCTACACAATCACCTGAACGACGAAAACAAACGGGTCTTACGCGAGCTTACGCAGTGGCTTACCCGGGCCGCCAGCGCGGAAGCACCGCGTGGTGAACGAGGGCGCTTACGCGCGACTTTATGCGGGCAGCTTGCCTGCGAATATCTGCGCAAGCGACCCCGCTGTTCTGTGCCGCCCACCTGGTGTCGTCCGCGGCCCACCAGCCCGGCCCCGGGAGCCGAGCGTGCTTCTTCTGCATCAAGATGTGGTCGCCCCGTGTGCTGTCCAGCTCGTCCAGGGAGCTCCCCTCCTCGCCGTCGGCGTCCGCGCCAGTCTTCTGGCAGTGCGCGGAGACAAAATTCGGATTGTTGCCACCCATGCTGTCCTCGTCGTCGTCGCCCCTCTCGCTCATGCCGAAGCACTTCCGCTCGGGCCTGTAGTACACCACCTGGGTGTGCGGTCGGCAACCTTTGCTTCGCGTGCCGCGGCGACGGTCCCGGCGACACGCCATGCCCTGCAGGCGGATAGCGTTTCGCTCCGCTCCGCGGGGGGCTGGGCAAGGCTCGGGACGCTGTGGCTTGGGAACTGTGACGTGTCTGGGGTGTCGCGCTACAGCGTGGTGGGCCAGAACTGGCGGCGCGACACGCTGAGCCAACGTTCCCGACCGTAAGCCCCCCCAATGGATCGAAACCGATCCCAGATCAGATTCCGATCCTGGCACAGACGGCCCGATCCACACCGAAGCGCGAGGCACTCCGTCGAACGAGAACTCGGCCGCTCTCCCGAATCCCAGCTGATGGATGGCGCGCAACGAACCATGACCCTCGATCGATCTACGAGCCTCAGTCGACGGATCATGTCGAGCCTCGATCGAAAAGATCGACCAACGAGCCTCGATCAGTGGATCCGACCATGGACGCGCCTCGATCCACGAGCTTCGATCGATCGATGGATCAGATCATGGTCGAGCCTCTGTCAACAGATCGGGATCTTCTAAGACCACCTGCTGGCACTTCTCTTCGGCCGCGCATCGGTCGCGGCACGTGGGCCAGTCCTCGGCGACGTCGCCATACTTGTGCTTCCCCAGGGGTATCTCCTCGCCCGTCTCGGTCTTGCGCCAGTTGTTGAACTCGGCGCACGCGTTGTTGCAGTGTGCCGAAACGAAGTCGTAGTTGGAGCCGCCCATTCTGTCCTGGTCGTCTCCCTGGGCCTCCCTCGTGCCGAAGCACGAGCCCGAAGGCTTGTAGAAGACAACCTGCTTGCAGTCCTTGTCGTTCGCGCAGAGGCTGCGGCACTCCTTCCACGTCGTCTGGGCGCCATATGCCGCCTTGCCCAAGTTCATCTGCACAGCCCTTCCGCCCACTGCCGCCTTCCTCCAGTTGGCGAACTCCACACACTTCCCTCCCTCCACCACCTTGCCGCGATCCGCGGCCGTGGGGTCTGAAGATTGCCCGTCGCCGCCGCCTTCGCCAGAGTCCCAGCCTAATGAGCCAACAGCCTGCGCCGTCGAGGAGGCTGGCTGCTCCCAAGCCGGCTGCTCCCAAGCAGGCTGCTGCCAAGCCTCCTTCGAGCTAGTTGTGCTATCGCTGGCCTCCCAATTCCACCCGCCTGCGTCACTGACTGGCTGCCGGGTGGTGGGCTTCTTCGGGGGGACAGGGCTGTCTTCGTCGGAGATGTCGGCGATGGAGAAGTTGTAAAACTTCACGCTGTCCGAGCACTTTTTCTTGATGTCCTTGGAGCACTGCCCCTGGTGATCGTCCCCGAGGCCATCCAACCACAACATGTCGTCGTCAGCCCAGTAGCTTACGATCGGCGTCATGCCCCTCTTCAGCTCCTGGGTCATCTCTGACATGTAGTCGTAGCTGCTAATGTCCAGCGAGATCCGGCAGGGCTCCCCCTTCTTCGCGACCTGCGACAGGGAGACCCACATCGCCTTGAGGGATCCTGTGGCCTCGTCTGTGGGGAACGACACGGCCACTTCGTAAGGGGCCTTCGAATCGATGCACTTTCCGCCCGGGCCGTAGTCGTTCTCATCCCAGTCGCGAGGACCGTTCCAGCCGGGCCCCCCTCCGCCCTCGCCCGCGGCAGTGCCGAAGGAGTCGTTCGCGCCGTGCAGGGTCGCGTGGAAGGCGTGCTGATTGGCCTCCTGGATGTCAATCTCGGCGCAGGTCTGCCCGCACACGTTGTTGGCGTCGCAGTAATCCGCGACTGTGCAAGCGGCACGCTGGGGCGTGTTAGAATGCTCTTCTGGTGGCTGGCAGGGTGCATGTACTGCTTCCTAAGGCCGACCCCGCACCTGATCTTAGGTCGGGCATGTCCCCCTGCAGGCGGATCTTGGATGACAAATTCAAACAATCAAAGCATGTCAAAAATGGTCAGACAAGACTCGAAAATCGTCCCCATACTATTTTTGGGCTATTTTTGAATACTCCTCCTGTAGAGGGGCATGCCCGACTTGAGAACTAATCCCCATTACTTTTTGTATCGACTTTGACTTTGCGACCGGTGCGGGCCGATGGCGGCCCAATCGGGGTGGTCCCGTCCTGCGTGTAACAAGGGCTACACGACCAATGATTGTTTTGAATCTCAACATGGACATTCTGCCGTCTCTGTTGAAACAAACGCGTGGCAGGAAGGGGACGGGGTGTGCATGCCGCGCGAAAGGAGGCCGTAATGTCGCTCTCGTCTCGGCACCGTGCTCCTTTTTCTAGAGAGCTGACCTCCCGCTGTGGGCGCGGCGCAATGATTTTCGCACGCCACTTCGTCGATGCGCGAGTGGGCGAAAATCCTCCTCCTCCTCCTCCTTCTCCTCCTCCTCCTCCTCCTCCTCCTCCTCCTCCTCCTCCTCCTCCCCCTCCTCCTCCACCTCCCCCTCCTCCTCCCCCTCCTCTCCCTCCTCCTCCCCCTCCTCCTCCACCTCCCCTTTCTCCTCCTCCTCCTCCTCCTCCTCCTCCTCCTCCTCCTCCTCCTCCTCCTCCTCCTCGGCGCCGCGCAGACTTCGCATGAAAGTGGCGTTCCCGCCTCGAAGGCGGCGCATCTGTTTCGCTCGCCCATTGTTCCGCGCGGGCGGGCGACTTGTAGCCCTCGCCCGAGCCCCGTGCGCGCTTCGCTCGGAAGTGGTGTCCCGCGCGGGCGCGGCGCGCGAGAGCGGGCGAGATGCCCTCCTTGCCCAAGGGCGCGCCGCAACCTGTTAGTGAACATGGCAATGCTGTGTCGGCGTGGCGCATGCTTCGTCTTCGCCGCGCCGATTGGAGGCTCTGCTGGTCCCGCCTCTGCACGGCTGTCGAAACTGCCCCCTCGCCAAATCGTCGGAAGCAGGGCCGCGCGCGAGCGCCTTCCGTCTGCGAGGTGGGAGCGCGTTCCAATCCCACTCTCAAATTGTGCCGCACATTACTCTTCTGCTGTCGGAGGGAGGGTGGGAACGGGCGGGGCCCCCTGACTCGCTCGACCTGGGCAACCTACCGCGCGTGTACTCCGACTGCCGCCCCTCTGGATCTGCCCTTCGGCGCCCTCCCTGTCTGGCCGCCGGAAAGCTCAAAGACAACTGAAATGATCTCAAACCGCCTCAAGATGCACCCAAGCTGGACCAAGATGCCTCGAAGACAGCCCCAGATAGCCCCATGTCGACCGAAGAGGCTCCCATACAGCCCAAAAGGGCTCCGAGAAGCCCTTCAGGAGGGCCCGAAGAAGCCAACATCATCAATGATCCTTTTCTTTTTCCGTGCTTTTCGCGTTCTCGCCTTTTCGGGAATGCGATAGCCCAAGACGGATCCAGAAGCCTCCAAGACGGGACAAAAGGGTCCCAACACGGCCCAAGATGCCCTCAAGACGGCCGAAGAGACCCCCAAGACGGCCTGAACGCGGGCCAAAGACGGCTCAAGAGACCTCGAAAGCGCCCCAAGGGGACCCCGAGACGGCCCAGAGATGCCCCTGGGACGCCTCCGATCCGAAGGTGTCAGACGGGCCAAGAGGGCTCTAAATCGGCCCAAGAGGCCCCCAAGAGCCCCCATGGAGGCCCCCGAGAAGCCTCTGAGAGACACCTAAGATTCGAGGGACCGAGGTCGAGCTTGATACCCACTCGATGCTAGACCGCGCGCTGCACTGCCGTGGGTCTTCCACTCAACCTCACTAGCGTTAGGTCGGGCATGTCCTCCTACAGGCGGATTTTCGAGGAAAAATAAAAAAAACCCAAACATTCAAAAATAATCACGAATAATAGAGCAATCGTCCCCCGACTATTTTTTGACTATTGTTGAATACTCCTCCTGTAGAGGGGCATGCCTGACTTTGCACTAGGGCCGCGCTGCTGCACCTGCGCGCACGCGGCGCTGCTGCGCCAGCATTGCGGCGGGGTGCGCCGCAGGCGGCCAGCTAATCGAAACACTCGGACTCGTGCGTGTTGTGCCCCATGGACGTGAGGTAAAAAGCCTCAGGCGATCGCAAATATGGATCAAGGGGGCGTGGATTAGCGACGGGCGCCGCTTCCATGGGAAATCGCGGGTTTCCGCCGCCGAGCGAGGCGGCACTGGCCGCATTTTGGGGAGGGCACCTCCCCCGATCCATGGATTTGGCGACCGCGCGCCAAATCCATGGATCGCTAACCCATGTTTGCGCGCCCCCGAGAGCCGCGTTGCAGCCGCAGCCGGCTCCCCCGAGGTCCAGGGTGTACCGGAGCGTCTTGCCCAGCAGGGGCATCCTGGTGTACTCGGTGCTGTTGTACTTCCCTGGGGTGCAGCTGCTGGCGAAGTACGACCTGCTGTTCATGTGCGGCCTGATCTCGGTGCCGTTGAGCACCTCCACTTCCTCCATCGGGGGCGGCCAAGAGGGGGGCGTCCAAGAGGGGGGGGCGCAAATCATGGCCGCCGGCATGTGCGCGGCCCAGGGGTGGGGGCGGGGACGTATTGAAATAAGAAGAGGCGCCATGAAATCTGGGGAGATATCATGGCCCCGCCATGATATCCGCCCCCTCCCTAGTCATCACCCTCCACTTTGCCGCCCCCGATCCTCCGCCCCGTACGGAGCTGTCCAGCCGGTCGGCACGATCGACACGGGCTTGTCGAAGCCGGCAACGCTGAACTGCCCAGGGCACGTCGGCTTCGGGAACTTCTCCTTGGCCTTAGGGTCGGGCCTCGTCCATCTGCTGCTGCTGCTCCTCTCGTCCAGTCTGGGCTGACCCGAGGACCACAGGCGATCTGGAGCCAGCCAGCCCAGTCCAGCCGAAAGCGCAGAGCATTCCGTCGGTCAAAATCTCTGTCGATCTTGTCCTCCCCCTCTTCCCCCCGTCCCCCTCTCCCCCTTCCTCCTGCCCGCCCTTCCCGACCCTCCCTCTCTTTCTCCTCCTCCTCCTCCTCCTCCTCCTCCTCCTCCTCCTCCTCATCCGTCATCCGCCGATCGGGGATCAGTAGGCGGACCAGCGATCCGCGATCTATGATCGGTCCCTGGTCGAAAGAACAGAGAGAACGCGCTGCGTGGGCGCTCGTTCAGGAAAAAAACCTGGACACGTCGGCACCGGCCCCCTCACCCCCTAAACGCTTGCTGTGCCCGGAGGACGCCCACCAGCCCGCCCCCAGGGACACCAGCCTCTCTAACTGGCTCCCCCCCCACCTCACCCGAATAGACTCCTATTTGTGCTCGATCAAGCTCTCATGGAATCCTGGTAGGGCTCTCTCCAACTCTACTCGAATCCTTATATGGCTGGGTCCAGCTCTACTTGAATCCTGCTAGGCCTCGATCCAACTGTACTGTGAGCCGATTGTAGCTGGATCGAACTAGTCGGGCTCGATCCAGCTCTATTGGAATCCTACTATAGCTGGATCCAGCTCTACTCGAAATACAACAAGGCTCGATCCAACTCTCATGGAATTCTGCTATATGTAGCTGGATATAGCTCTCATTCAATCCTACTAAGGCTCGATCGTCGTCATCGTCGTCGTCGTCGTCGTCGTCGTCGCTGCCCTTCGGCGCCGGCGCCGGCGCTCGCCGCCGTCGGTTGCTACTGGGCATGAGCACCCCCTCCCAAATCGAACCCCACCCCCCTTGCAATTCAGGGGGGGGGCCCCCACGGTTCGAACCGCTCTCTCCGCTTGAGGGCCCTCTCCCCGGTTCGCCCCTCCCATGGTTCGAGCACCCCTCCCCCCTCCCCTTGAGGCCCCCCCCCGGTTCCAACCCCCCTCTCTTGGCAATTCGGGGGGGGGGGCGGTTCGACCCCCCTCTTCCAAGCGTCCACATCACGCGCTGTTTCAGAGAACATGTGATGGACGAGTGTTTTGAAGACGGAGAGGGTGGGAATATGACGGGGTGAATGGAAAAGCTTAATGTGAGCGGGGACAGGCACGCATGTAGGAGTTAGGCGGTGATGGTGCTGATGATGATCATGCTGGCCATGGGAGAAAGGTGGAGAGAAGAATCGGGCATACGGAATGCCACAAGCTGGACTGTAGCGTGTTCCGCTCGATCGCGCACGCCTAGGTCGGCACACGAGGTGCCACGCGTTGGGCTGCACCGTGCTTCCTTCGATCGCGTGTGGCTGCAGTCGACGCGGGCTCGCACGCGCCTCGCGCGCGAGCGCGTGCCCCGGCGACCGCTGCCCCTCCCGCTGCCTCGCGGCGCGCCGTGCGCCGTGCGCTGCTGGCCCCGCCTGCCGCCCGCCAGCGGCCAGCCGGGGCCACCCTGCAGCCTCCCTCCCCTGTACAGGGCATATATATACACACATATATATATGTATATATGTATATATAGGTATATATATATATATACATATGTGTATATATATAGTTGTAAGGTTTTGAATACATGACCAATTTATGAATCAATCTATGCGTGAACTCGTCGTTGTTTTCAAGACAAAATCCCTGCATTTTTAATACGTGGTCCGCACGCGGAACATGTATAACACACGGCACTGTTTGGGGAACGGATATAGAGGGCTGGAGATCCACCCCGATCATACGAACCCCGACCGACAACGCAACCGTTTAGCAAGCGCACCCGGCGAAGGAATCGAACAGCAAAGCGCTGTTCGTAAACGCGCGGGGCTGTTCAGTAAACGCCGATTATGGGGGCCGGGGTGGACTTGTCCTCGTTGAGAAGAAGGACACAAACATAACAACTCCACAAGGCACCCGAGCAGATCCACCAGGCGGGCAGACAGGGTCCAGGGAGCAACCAGGCCGGACTCAATGCGACAGCCAAGGAGGGGGGGTGCATGGTGGCCGAGGTCGGCCGCTGCTGGTCGGGCGGCCGAGGGCCAGAGGAGGGAGGCTGCAATCGGGGAGCGAAGAATGACATGAACATAGAAACTCGGAGGTCGCGCGGATTTCTCGGATCGGCGTTCGAGCCCCCTCCCTGGTGCGCGGATCGCGCCAGGGGCGGCGCCGGAAGCGCCGCCAGGGGGCTCCAGCGGCCGACCTCGGCCACCGTGCGCTCCCCCCCTCCTTGGCTGTCTCACTGCGTCTGGCCTGGTTGCTCCCTGGACCCTGTGCGCCCGCCTGGTGGATTTGCCCCGGTGCGCTCACTGGTCGTGGTCGAGTGCCTCCCGTCCTGGGTTGATGCGCGTTGGCCCACGGGCGCTTCTCGGGCTCGGCCTGGTGTCCCTCCTTCCGCGCCTCGCTCGAACCTGGGCCGCAGCCTGCTGATGAAGCTCTTGCGGTCTGAACTTGCCCCCTCTAGGGGAGCGAAAAATGACGTAAGCATAACAACTCGGAGGTCCGCGCGGAGCGCCAAACCATTCTATTTCTGGCGTTGTTTCTTCTTCAAGGTCTGGGCTTGCCCCCTCGCCCGCTCCTTCGTTCCTTCCGACCGCTTGACGCGCGCCCATGGTCGGGCGGCCGCCTGGCGCGGGTGCTTACACGTCCCGCAGGTGGGCCTCCTAGCGCCCAGCCCGCGGCAGCCCCTCCCCACAGCCAGGGGGCGTGGCCAGGGGCGCCCGACGCTGCCGCGGGGGGGCCCTGCCCGCCGGCCCCCCGGGGAGGGGGCTCCTCCCCCCCGCGGCCGCCTTGCCCCTCTCCTCCTCGCACCCTGCTGGGCTCCATCCGCTGTCCGGCGCGCCTGGGTCGCTCGACCGGCCCGTGCGCTCGCCAGGCCTGCGGCGAAAGAGCGGTGTCGTGCGCGCGGGGGGTCAGGCCGTGCACGGCGGGCAGCACGGCTGGAAGGTGCAGGGGAACCATCGTGGTGCCCTGGGATCCTGGCGATGCAATTTTTCCACACCGGGCGTTTTCGCTCAATTCCCGGGCTCCGGGACATTCAGAGATCGATCCAGCTCGAAGAATTACGCAGAAAGATAGGGTCCAGGGCTCTGGTCGTGACTTTTGCGATGTTGTATTTTTCTTGCAACGTCGGGTCTCATGGTGCTTCAAGCCATGGCAGCAGAAATCGGTGACGACGACTCCTCTGGGGACCAGAAGCTCTGCATTTGCAGCTTGGAGGAAGCGTAACCAGTAGGTTCTGGGCAGAGCGCGCCCAGCACTCCAGACCACGCGCGGAGCCGCCCCGGGGGGCGGCCAGATGCTGCTGCCCAGGTCGGAGGGTCTCGAGACGTGCCCTGGGCACGCCGAGGCCGCTCCAAGACGGCCACACGACCATCCGAGGCAGCTCCCACACAGCCCCCAGACTGCTGCAGAACTGCCCCAGGAGGTCCAACGTCTGCGCAACGTCTCCTCACGTTGGAAACACAGAGGCCCAAATAGACCTCCGAATCGGCCGTCGAAAAACAGAACCAGAGGACGCGCATTCGTCAAGCAACTCTTCGCCTTGCCACCCATCCTGGCCCAAGCACCTCTTCATCTTGCCACCCATCCTGGCCCAACTTGGCTGCAATACAACGTTAAAACGGCGACACCGACATGCTCTCCAAGCGGGTCCCAACGGGCACCCGACAAACACCTGAGAATCGGAATACCTTCCCTCGAGCTGATATCGAATCAATTTCCTATCGCCTTCCTTCTATTCTGCCCGACACGCCCGACCTGGCGACATGTCCATGGCACGTATATGATCCTGGGTCGAGGGTTTAACAGACCCCCCCCAGATGGGATGGGTCCCAGGTTCTACAGTCCACCACAGATGGGAGGGGTGGGGATGACGACGACGGCGATGACGACGACGACGACAACGACGACGCAGACTCCGACGCCGATGCCGACGCCGACGTCGACGCCGACGTCAACGCCGACGCCGCCGCCGACGACGACGACGACGCAGACGCAGACGCCGACGCCGACGCCGACGCCGCCGACGACGCCGACGCCGACGCCGACGGAAGACGACGACTACGACGACGGAAGACGACGACGACGACGACGAACCACCCCACACACACACACACACACACCCACAGGGGGGGGAGCACCGACGCCCTCCACCACGTCACGCTCACAGGGCCACGACCACATAAAGGGGTGGCGGAGCGATCCCATTCGCGAGGCCTTCGCGAGGCTCACGGGCTTACGCATCCAGCGGGGGGGGGGGGGGCGGATCCCATCTGCATTGGGGGGGTGCAACCCTAGATCAAAAATGCGCGCTTCTCGAGCAGTTCAACCGCCGTTGAACGGCGATCAAGCTTGAGAGGATAACAGCGCGGACACCCTTAGACTACTAAGCACTCGACCTTGGCTTTCACTGCAGGGATGGCGACGGCAACCCGCAACGTAAAAGCGGCAGCCAGCGCCAACTGGCCAGGCGCCTCGATCGATCGATCGGCCGATCGACGAAGGAGGAGGGGAATGGATAGGGATGAGAAGCGAGGAGCGGGGAAGAAGCGGTGAGGAGGGAGCAGGGGGGGGCAACGAGGATGGAGGAGAAGGAGGAGGGAGGAGAAGGAGGGAGGAAGGAGAAGGGAGGAAGGACGAGGAGGATGGAAGAGGATGGGGAGGCAGGTGGCGCCACGCCATCGCCGCGAACCATGGTCGCCCCAGCGAGAGGGGGCGCGGAGGTGCGCAGAAGGCGGGGGCCGTTGGCGAGGCGGCTCCAAGCTAGAACCTCGAACTTGAGCAAGCATGGTGATCGAGGGGGGAGGGGGAGAGATGATGAAGGGAGGGAGGGAGGGAAGGAGGCCTCCCTCCTTCCCCGCGTCTCCTCGTCTTCCCCCCCTCTTCCCCCCCCCTCCTCCTCCTCCTCCTCTTCCTCCTCCTCCTCCGCCTCCTCCTCCTCTTCTCTCCTCCTCCTCCTTCTCCTCCTCCTTCTCCTCCTCCTTCTCCTCCTCCTCCCTCTTCCTCCTCCTCCTCCTCCTTTCCTGCTCTTCTTCTTCTCCCTCTCTATACATATCGTTTTCTCTCTCTCTCTCTCTCTCTTGCCAGGTCCCCACTTTAGTCCGCACGCGCTGCTTGCCTCGGGAAGCTTCGCACAGCTGCCACCCGTGATCCAAGCACCCCGTTACTTCTTCTTTCTCTGCCTGTGCCGACCTGGGGGTAGGCCTAACATTCAATAATGCGTTTCCCTGCGCACGGCCCACGTAGCCCACGGGGCGCAATGATTGCCTTCTGCTCGCTTCGCTGTGTCATGGTGTTCCCTCTTCTTTCTGAGTGGCTCTTGCTCTTCTTCCTTGCCAGCAGCCTGCGAATTCTTTCCAGGTCAGTGTAGCAAGCCCTAGATCCTAAACCTCTCCTGCTCTGAACGCTCGAACATCTATGCTGAAACGCCCTCCCGGCAAGTGTAGGTCTCAGCAAACGTTGTCGTTATTACGCCACAAGCGTTGCTTCGAACATGGTTCATCCAAACATCTCTCCCCTTCCTCCTCCTCCTCCTCCTCCTCCTCCTCCTCACACGTCCTCCTCCGTGCTCTGGCCTTGTTCACCCTCTTTCTTCTGCTTTCTATGTCCTCCGTGCTCTCCCTCTTCTCCTGCACTTCCTCTCTCCTCTCTGCCCTCCTCTTCGTTATCGTTCTCTTCGCCGCTGTCCTCCTCCTCCTCCTCCTCCTCCTCCCTCCTCCTCCTGCTCCTCCTTCTCCCTCCTCCTTCTCCTCCTCCTCCTCCTCCTCCTCCTCCTTCTCCTCTTCCTCCTCATCATCATCATCCTTCTTCTCCTCCTGCCGAGGTGCATTTTCGGTTTTGCCCTATGCACCCACCGCAGTTCAGGCGGAAGAGCGGAGTCGGCGCACACACACAGCGATGCGCGATGGCGATCTGGCCTTGACACCGAATCTAACTTCAATGGGCACGTGATGACAATGAGGGACGAGGAGGAGGAAGAGGAGGCGGATGATGACCAGGGAAGATGGGTAGGGAGGGTGAGAGAATGGAAAAGCAGGGATGAAGTGGGGATCATGAAATAGAGGTGGGACGACGAGGGGGATGATGAGGTGCCCGGTGCCCAGCCCAGCTTGGGGGTTGAGGGAGCATCAGACGTATAAGCGATCACAGCTCGAAGGGACGGCTGGTCCCTTCCTGTTGGCCATGGCATGGCCCAGTTCATATCCGCTACCGTCACCCTAGCCCGCAAGAGCAATATAAATCTCATCATCGCGCTGGCCTGTAGGATGAGGAGGATGAGACGGAGGAGAGGAGGATGAGGAGGAGGCACCCACGCCACTAAGGAGGAAGAGGATCAGGAGGAGGAGGAGGAGGAGGAGAAAGAGGAGGACGAATAGGACGAGGAAGCGCATGGCGCTGCCATGGACGTGATGCGGAAGGTGATCTCCGCCAGACGCATGCAGAAAGCCAGGTGATAGCCAGGCATCATCGTGAACGCCCGCAGGGCGAAGGGGCCCTGCGGGCAAGCTGAAGGGGGGAGGAGGCGGCGGAAAAAGAGGGAGTTAGGGAGGGAGGTTGTCCCTCTTCCTCTTTTTGGGCCCTCGCATCCTCTCCTTTCTCCGTCCCCCTCCTCCTCCTCCTCCTGCTCCTCCTCCTCTTCCTCTCTCTCTCTCTCTGTCTGCTCCCTTCTGCCAGCAACCCAGCACCATGATCGTGCCTGCGTTGAAGGAATACCTTCCGCTTCGGAAGCAACTGCTCCTGGCTGCCGCCGACCTCTCTCGCTCGCCCCTTTCCCGACAGCCTCCAGCTCGGCGCGAGCCCTGGCTGCCACTGGCATCCTTGGCCTGACGGGTTCGGAGAACCCTGAACCCAAAGTACTCGTACCTCTTGGGGGCGCGTCTTTTCTTTCCGTCGGCGGAGCCGCACTCGCTTCGCTTCCGGCGCCCTCCGCCGAGGAAGAGACACCAACTTCTAGGCTCCCCGAAGACGACGCCTTTGCCGGCACGCTCCGCCCGCCCCTGTTCGCGACTGCCCCCCGCCCTGCTCGCCGACCCCTTCCGCTCGGCTCTGTCCCCGACCTCCACCGGCTCCGAGCCCCCCTTTGCCCTGGCTGCCGCTGGCTCGCGCCGTTCTGGCTGAAACCCCGTTCCTGGCTCGGTGCCGTGCAGTGGTGACCGAGAATCTGCCTGGTTGGGCGCTGCTCCCGGCTGTTCCCGGCTCGGTCCTGCCCGCTGGTTGCTGGAGCTCTGCCTCGTTCGGCCACGTCCAGCGTCGTCACCATCACGGCCGTTCTCTGTTTGGCCGTTTGGGGCCACGCGCTGGTTTCAAGCCAGGTCGTTCTGAGACTTCTGACCTCGTTGCTGCTGCTGCTGCTGCTGTGCCGATCCTGCGCGCAAGCCAGGGGACGGCCATCCCGTGCCCACGCGCGCCCACAATGCTCTACTCCTCCTTCTCCTCCTCCTCCTCCTCCTCCTCCTCCTCCTCCTCCTCCTCTTCTTCCACTCCCTCTCCTTGTGGATAACTACTCCCTGTCACACCCCGAGGCCAGCTGAGACTTTGTCACCGTTTACGACTCTGAAACTTAAATTATCCTGGCAAAGCAACCTAACAGCGATGTGTATAAGCATATCTGGAAGCATTCCCCTTAAGATTCAGGTGAGAATCCAGTTGTAGAATTCTGCTGTTCTCGCAGTCGCAGTCGCATTCGCAATGACAGTCGCAGAGGCAACGGCCTTAGGATCCAATGGAATCCTAAGGATTCCTAGGGATTCCTAAGGCATCCTTAGGCATCCTTAGGAATGCTTAGGAAACCTTAGGAATCCTGATTCCTAGGGGTGCCTGGGGATTCCTAAGGATTCCTAGGGAATCCTAAGGATTCCTAAGGATTCCTGAGGATGCTTAACTCTGCCTACGGATTCCTAAGGATGCCTACGGATTCCTAAGGATTCCTAGGGATTCCTAAGAATTCCTATGGATTCCGACGGATGCCTCAGCCTGCCTCAGTTTCAGCCTCAGCCTCAGCCTACCTCGGCTTGCCTCAGCCTCAGTGTCAGCCTGCCGCGGCCTCAGCCTCAGCCTGCCTCAGCCTCAGCCTGCATCAGCCTCGGCCTCAGCCTGCGTCAGCCTCAGCCTCAGCCTGCCTCAGCCTCAGCCTGCCTCGGCGTGCCTCAGCCTCAGCCTCAGCCTGCCTCGGCCTCAGCCTGCCTCGGCCTCAGCCTGCCTCAGCCTCCCCTCCTCCCCCCCCCTTCCCCCCCCCATTCAGCCTCACCTTGTCTCAGCTTCGGCCTGCCTCGGCCTCATCCTCAGCCTCAGCCTCAGTCTCAGCCTCAGCCTGTCTCGGCCTGAGCCTGCCTCGGCCTCAGCCTCAGCCTGCCTCAGCCTCAGCCTGCCTCAGCCTCAGCCTCAGCCTGTCTCAGCCTCAGCCTGCCTCAGCATCAGCCTCAGCCTCAGCCTCAGCCTGCCTCGGCTTGCCTCGGCCTCAGCCTCAGCCTGCCTCGGCCTCAGCCTCAGCCTCAGCCTGCCTCAGCCTCAGCCAGCCTGCATCAGCCTCAGCCTCAGCCTGCCTCAGCCGCAGCTTGCCTCAGCCTCAGCCAAACTCAGCCTCAGCCTCAGCCTGCCTCAGCTCAGCCTCAGCCTCAGCCTGCCTCGGCTTGCCTCAGCCTCAGCCTCAGCCTGCCTCGGCCTCAGCCTCAGCCTCAGCCTGCCTCAGCCTCAGCGTCAGCCTCTCAGCCTCAGCCTCCCTCAGCCTCAGTCTAAGCCTGCCTCAGCCGCAGCCTGCCTCAGCCTCAGCCTCAGCCTGCCTCGGCCTTTGCCTGCGTCAGCCTCAGCCTGCGTCAGCCTCAGCCTCAGCCTGCCTCAGTCTCAGCATCAGCCTGCTTCGGCGTGCCTCAGCCTCAGCCTCAGCCTGCCTCGGCTTCAGCCTGCATCGGCCTCAGCCTGCCTCATCTCGGGCATTCAAAATATGGCACAGGACTGGTGTTCTGGGAACACAAAGATCACGAAGTGGCCCACAGCTGGCGTTTTAAACATTTGCAAGAGTTTCACACATTGAAGGCGGGTCGTTTTCAAAATGTGGCTCTCACCTCAGCGCCGAGCGCATTCGTTTTTTGTTTTTGTTTGTTCCCCACCTAGGCTCTGCCTAGAAATATTCTTACTTTCTGGGCTTAAATGGGCCGGGCAGTGGAAAGCGCTCCGGGCGGTTCCCCCAGTATCCGCCCCGCGGTTCCCCCAGTTACGTCCCCTTAGCTTAGCGTTGCTTATCTCATATTCGCTTAGTTTATTTCATCTTAATTTAGCTTAGCTTCATCTTAGCTCAGGTTGGTCTTAGCTTAGCTTACCTTCATCTTAGCTTCGCTGAGCTCTAGCATGGCAGAGCACAGCATAGCATAGCGTATCATAGCGCAGCACATCATATCATAGCATCGCCCAGCATAGCATAGCATAACGCATCATATCATAGCATAGCATAGCGCAGCACAACACAGCATAGCGCAACATAACACAGCATATCATAGCATACCATAGCAGCAACACAACGGCAACGCAACAGCAGCGACAGCAAATCAAAGCACAAACAACGCAAAGCAACACAAAGCAACAGCAACAGCAAAGGAAAGGCACAGCAAACACAATGTGCGACAGCTGCCGAGCACCTATACACACATGCGTACATACATACACACACGCATGCAGACATACATACATACACCTATACAC